GTGTTGAAATATGCATTTGGATGTGTGCCATAAAGCACTGAATGCTGGGAATCCTTTCAGGAACATCCGATTACAAAACGGTTCCACCTTCAGTTCAATAACAAGAGATTAAATGCAAATACTCTGGAACCAGTTTCTCCGCTCAATGTTTTCATGTCTCGTATGAGTCACCAACTGTGATTAAAGAGCTCAGACATACATGTTATGATGGCAGTAACACTCATATCTAACTTGTTTTGAAATTTGTTAGTCAATGTTTGTTTTTCCATATTGCAAAATCTTTTTCTTATTGGGAAGATTTATTATTGCATCTCAGCCCTTAAAGGAATTGTCAGGGTTAAATGCATCTCTGTCGACAGCATGTTGATTACCACAGAAAATAATGTCTGCTGGCTTTTTATTGTAATTGCATTACTGTTCCCTTTTAACTGAGGGACGAGTCGAAATGACTTCCTGTGGTAATCGACAACATGCCACAGACTCTTGATAGATCTAAGATGTATTTGATGCAGAATATTCATAAGTCACCATGAAATCAATATGTATTTGTTTACAATTCAGAAGTTCATGTTATTCCAAATCTTTAATTAAAAAGAAATCACTTGCTCTGCTTTGAACCGACTTTCATCTAGGCTGGCAGGAAAATAATGTGAACCAATAGCCCAAATCAAGTTGTTTAGTCATAGTTTTAAGCTGTTGTGTGTAGGTAATGTAGCCTTTTTAAAATATATCTCCAATAGTTAACACAAACAGTTTCCGGCGATAATAGCTAATAACAATTGTAAAAAAAAAAGAAGCTCAATTTCCATACCACAGCAAAAATCACTATCCAAAAATAAACATAAAGTTTAAACATTATTAAAGACAAGTGACAGTCAGTAAATAAAAACAAATGAACAAATTACAAGTAATAGCACAATTAAATATAGACCTATAGCACAAAGAGGAATGAAATTATGCTTTAGGTTATGTTTGTAGTATGTTCAGTGACAGAAATTGAAAAATCACATATAAAATAACATTTGCATATTCTTCACTCTGTGTTGCACCTTGATTTTTCATAACCATTTGAAATTAGAAGCAGCTACTGCATTTTAATCACGAATTGGAGAAAAAAACAATACATGTGCAATGTTTGATTTTTATTAGACTGTATAATTTCAAAATCTGAAGCAAAAACAGAATAACCTGACTTTAGCTTTGTGAAATTATGCTACATAAAACATCTGCACGAAACAGAAACAGCAGGTGGGCTGAATGAGACGCAGATTCACTCTCTGACAGCAGGAGGCGCTTATGGAACAGTGATACAGCGTTTCCTTGGTTACCGCAGTAAACACAGCAGCACTAATTTAAATGCATTATACGGAGACAAAGACGACGCCATTTCTAGGGGTGTTCGGTTCCAGGTTTTTCGGAGTCGACTCCGACTCCTGACTCCCACCATAGGAGTCGATGGAATCGACTCTTCAACTCCATTTACCGTGACTGTCCAAATTCGTCCAATTTAGAGGTGACATTACCTTTAAATGAGCTATCACCGTTGCTTGCTGTTGCCGACACTTAATTTCACAGAGGGAAAAGTCACGAAAAACAGCCGTGGTGGAATGTTCTCTCAGAATTAAAAATGATATATTCTTTAATGAATTTGTCACATTATAATGGTCAGGGGATGGCGCTAAACGTATATTGTCTTAAACAGCATTATTAAAAAATAAATACACGCTGCAGTGGCCCGATTGGGCAAGTGACAAATCCGTCTACTGTCCCGAACGTCTTTCACGCTTGCCGCGGGCCATCGGGCAGTCCTTATTGTCGAGCCCTGTCGTTATTTAAACCATATGCCAAACTTATGAAATCTCATCCTTTTGTCTCTAGGGTCGGATATTCCTGAGAAGTCTGAGTCTTTCATGTTTCCCCAAGATAAAGTGGTTCCTGTGGGCAGTAACATGACCTTCTGCTGCATTGTTAAGGAGAAGGACGATTTCAAAGAAATGATGTACGGGCGTCAGGAGATGAGCGCCACACGACTGAGCAGAAGAACGTATGCCATCACAGTAACCAACCAGCCAGCATCGGGCAACACGGGCACCAACGTGATCTGCTGTTCCCAAAGGTTGACCCTCACAGGAGCTGTGGTGTTTGTAGGCTGTGAGTTTAATTCTAATATATAGAATACTATAATATAAAGAAATTGATATCATACGTTATATCATATATTTATATCATATATCATAAATATATTTCAGGTAATTTATATCATACATTATCATTATATCATACATCATAATTAATTTACATACACTCAAAAGTATAGGCTTGGTAAGACTTTTTAAAAATCTTTTTAAAATGTTTGCCAAGGCCGCGTTTATTTGATCAAAAAAGTGTAATGTATTCCTGTGATGCAAAACTGAATTTTCAGCATCATTACTCCAGTCTTTATTGTCACATGATCCTGTAGAAATAACTCTTAAGATGCCAATTTGGTTCTAAAATAAATTCTATATTATTAATGTCGGAAACAGTTGCTGCTTAAAATTTACAAAACATTTACTTAAATAAATTTTTTCAGGATTCTTTGATTAAATAAAAAGTTCAAAAGAATTTTCAAACAGCGTTTATTTGAAATAGAAGCCATTTGTAACATTACAAATGTATATATATATACACAGTGCCATATACCCCTTCATTTATTTCACGTTTTATGTTGCAGCCTTACGTTAAACTGCTTGTTGTAATTTTTTCCACATCAATCTGCACTCCATACACCATAATGACAAAGGAAAAACAGGACTGTCACAACTTTGTAAATTTATTAGAAATAAAAAAACTGAAATAAGTACATTGCATAAGTATTCATATATAACTCAGTACTTAGCTGAAGCACCTTTACAGCCTCAAGTCTTTTTGGTTATGATGCGTCAAGCTTTGCTCATCAGCATTTGGCAATTATCTGCCATTTTTCTCCTCACCTCTTCACCTCTCAAGCTCTGTCAGGTTGGATGGGGGCAGATGCACATTTTTAGGTTTCTCCAGAAATATTTGATTGGGTTCAATCCCAGGCTGTGGCTGGGCCACTCAAGGACATTCACAGAGTTGTCTATAAGCCACTCTTGCTGTGTGTTTAGGGTCATTGTCCTGTTGGAAGGTGAACCTTCTGCCCAGTCTGAGGTTCTGAATGCTTGGACTGGGTTTTCATTAAGGCTCTCTCTATATTTTGCTGCACTGAGCTTTTCTTCTACTCTAACAAGTCCCTCAGTCCCTGCTGCTGAAAAACAGCCCCACAGCATGAGGCTGCTACCAGCACAAAAGTAAATTGAAAAACAGCTCCACAGCATGAGGCTGCAACCAGCACACTTTACTTTGCTACTGTGCAGGTGATGAGCAGAGCTGGTTTCCTTCAAACATGATTCTTGGAATTGAGGTTCATCAGACCAGAAAATCTTGTTTCTCACACTCTGAGGGTCCTTGTTTCTCACACTCTGAGGGTCCTTTCCAAGTGTGTTTTCGTGTGTCTTCACTGAGAAGAAGTTCGAGTCTGGTCACACCGACATAAAGCCCAGATCGGTGGAGTGTTGCAGTGATATTTGTCTTTAAGTTTTTTTATCTTTAATAAATTTGCAAAGATGTTAAAAACCTGTTATTTGCTTTGTCATTATGGTGTATATAGTGTAGATTGATGTGGAAAAAAAGTAATTTAAAGCAGTTTAACATAAGGCTACAACATAACAAAAGGTGAAAAAAATGAATACTTTCGCAAGGCACTGTATATATATATTTAAATTAATACTTTTATCCTGCTGTTTTTAATCAAAAGTGACAAAATAATAATATAATTAATTAAAAAATATATATATTTTTTTATAATTGTATATACCATTTTTATATTCTGTTTCTTTTTTTCCCAAATTGAGTCCAAACATTTGGTCCTGTTTGCATTTCATGAAAAAGGCTATATGAATGAAAGTGGCTGTAGTTTTTCTACTAGGTATTTATTTTCATAAGCGGTTTGCTAAAATGTTACGATATATAAGCTCTATAAACTTCAATCCAGCACTGTGAAATGCACATACAACTTCAGAAAGCAAGATAATTTGAGTGTTCATTTTTAGCGTAATGACTGGCACTAGATGATTGCTGTGCAGTGTTAAAGAGCGACTTGCATGTGGCTTTGTTGTATGTAATTGCTGCAGATCCGCCGGGCGATGAGGGCTTGGTCTGCGAGACGCGGGACCTTGCATCCGCAGAATGTTCTTGGAAGAAAGGACGAGACACTCGCTTGAGAATGAAGCGCAGCCGCACTAAATACACCCTTAATGGAAGGCAAGAAACACACTACACAAGAACCACTGACCGCACACACGATATCCCATTTGGCTCTTGGTACCAGAATGTCCTCGGTACATAAAAAGATCCCCAAACAGCAAACCACATTAAATGAGATGGAAAAGGATACTTGTGTAATGCAATGTATATTTTTACTGCTAATCCAAGAATTCCATTAGTGTTCTAATTAAATTATTATACCATTTCTTGTGGTAAGATTATATCAATATCATAAATATAATTTTGTATACATGTATGTGTGTGTGTATTTTTTTTTATATAAAATAGAAACAATTAAGATATTAACTATTGCGATTATGGAGAAGTTAATATGAGATATTTAATAATTATTTATTATTATAATAATTAATTCTAATAAATTTACATACAGTACCGGCTAGGGCTGAACGATTAATTGCATTTGCGATAATATCGCGATATGAAATAACGCGATT